AAACCAAAGATTCCCGCCGGGGCGGAGCGGACCTGGCGCCCGGCTCGTGGCCCCGTCTCCTGTCCCTGGGCCGTAGCTGTGGGTGCGCACAAATAGAGCGGTTGACAAAGCGGGAGGCGTTCGGTGATGATTCGGCGACATCGCGGGTCCCTCGGGAGCAGGCCGCGCACACCGACAGACGCCCGCCAAGGAGTATAGTGCCACGGTTGGAGTCTCGGCGGAAAACGCAAAAAAGGCCGGCGGTTAACTTTTCATTTTTTAATTGACCGTCTTCTTGTTCAAAATCATTTTTTTCAACTCGATTCGTCATCTAGAGTGAGGTGAATTACTACTGACGGTCTCCCCTCAAAATACCCGAACGACTCTCTCATTTACAGACCCTGGGCCCCCAACACTGTACCAAATAGCTCCCCGCTTTGGGCATCTACCGGCCACATTTGGAAAGTGCCCCCTCTTCTCAGGCCTCGATCTCTGTCCCCGGCTTCCGTGGGAGAGCCCCACAAGCCTGGGTCATTGCCCTTCCTGCCAGGTAAGGAAGCGTCTGACGAATCCTCAGGCGTAAAAGCTCCAGTGTTTATCACAAACATGACGCCGAGTGGAAGACGCCAGACACAAAAGGCCCCAGGTGGCAGGACCCCGCTTCTGGGGATCCCCAGCAAGGAGACTGGTGTTCCCAGGGGCCGGGGAAGTGGGGGCAGGGGCGGGAATGGCTGCCCATGGGCACGCGGCTTCCCGTGGGGGGTGGGAACATTCTAGAACTAGATGGGGTGATGGTGGCACAGCATGGCGAGTGCGCTAAACATCGCTGATAATGCTGGATCTCACGTGATGCCTATTTTACCACGATAAAAAAAGTTAAAGCAAAAAAAAAAAAAAAGATAGCGAAACTAAAACTGCTCTGAATAACGGTGCGTAGGGGTTGAAACGATGAGAGGAGGCAGAGCTCGAAGCGCCGGCTGCCGGCGTCGAGGTGGCGGCCGCCCGCTGCACTGCGCCCTCGGCAGCGGGGTTCGGGGCCCCTCCTGCTCCTCGCGGAGGCTGCGCCGCCAGAGGCCTGTCTGCCTGATCCGAGCCAGGCCGATGGCGGCGCCAGCGCTGTGTTCGGCAGGGAAGTGACACCAATGGAGAAATGTCACCGAGAGTCCGCGGAGCTGCCCCCTGAGGCTGCGAGGCGAACCCGCTGGCCAGCATGTCAGCCGGCGGCGCATCCACGATGCCGGACAGGGCAGAGCAGCGCGTGGGCTTTTCTTGGGAGGGCGGAGGACCGGGGGCCACACGAGCTCAAGTCTCCTCAGCAGTCGCCTGTTTTCACGCCACAAATAAATGTAGAGCCCACATTTCCTCCCGTGGGGAAAAACCTCCATTTTATTGACCTTTGTTATTAAATACAACCTGTAATGAGTGGACCCCTAGCTGACACTTAGAAGCATTTTTGCCATATTCGTCTTTGATTCTGTTAAACGTTGTACGTGAAGATAGAAAAGTCTGGTTTAGGGAGCTCCAGGCTCGTTCTGAGTGTGCTCGGCACGACCGCTGAGAGCAGAAAGCGCTGTTCCCACTCGCTCGGAGGCGGAACCGGCTCAGGAAGTGGTTTGGAATCAGGTCAACTTTCTGTTCTCCCCCGAAGGTGTTGGGGGGAGCGGGGGGAGCAGAGTCTTCCCGTGAGGGAGGGGCTGGTGCCTGCCCTCCCCCAACCCACCTGCGGGGGACAAGCGAACTCATCGGTCTGGCCCCGGGTGACAAAGCCGCCTTCAGGACTCGCGGAGGGCGGTGGGCGCGCGTCTGCGAGAGCACAGAGCTGGACTTTGAAGGACAGTGCCCACTCATCCCGAAAATGTCCTCGCCCTAGCGACTCTCTAAGTCCGATGTGAAGTGGCTGTGACCACTCTCCTTCTGCCGTGTAGTTTCTACAAACGCGTTCAGTCACTACCAGGTGACACTGGACCGTGTAAGGACCTGCTGTTTCGCGAACATGTTCCGTAAACGTCCACGGGACGTCGCTCTTTCAGTATGAAGACGTTTCGGGAGACAGAGGCGAGAAGGCGCAGTCTCTGCCTGTAAGTGGCTTGTGGCCCAGCCGGCAGATGGGCGCGGGGACAGGGAACGGTGGCCCACGGGATCATTGGTGTGCGGACAGAGGCGGTTTGGAGGGGCGCGCCCTCGGCTCCTGGGGGAGTCAGGGAAAGCGTCGCCCAGAAGGAGCCGATCGTCGATTGAGATGACACTTGGAGGCTGAGGCTGAGGGCCGGGGAGGCACCCCAGTCTTCGTGGGAGCAGCTGGGAGCAGGGGCGCCTGGCAGGCCACCCAGGGGGGCTGGCAGCAAGCGAGGGGACAATCTAAGTCACAGCACTCATTCATCCTTCACGAGGTCCTTCTCCTGGTAATTTTCGGACATAAAGAAAAACTGGAAAGGAAAAATCGATAGAATGAAATCTGTGTGTAGGTTTAAAGCAATGATTCCATTTTCATTTAAATTTAGGACCAGGCGTGTAAATAAAATATGCACCACATAATTGAACAGAAAAGTCTCCTAAATAGGAAGAGTATTGAAGAAATAGTCATGGGGACTGAAAATTGAGTTTCTGGGAATTATAAGATTTAATAAAATAAGATCCTAAAGGAGAAGCTCAAATATTATAACTTTAAAAGAGAAGAAATAAAAGATAATTCGGTCCCGTAGACTAAAGGAAGATAAATCAGTGTGCCGAGAAGCAGCAGGATTTAAAATTTCTTAAACTTGATTTCCCACACTTCAAAGGAAAATATGAAGTTGTTAATGTTTGTGTTGCCTGTTGAGCTAGAATATCTACGATTCAAAGTGTTTGGGTATGAACTGGACTTGGTAGTCACGGGGCAGCTTTTCGGTCTGCCGGGTCTGCAGCGTTCCCGGCGTGTTGACAGAAAGACCCGTTTCGCTCCCCCCTTCAGGGACCCTCCGTCCCTGGAGAGTGAGCTTAGCCACCAGCTCCTCTGCGTGTCATCGTGGCCATGGCTTTCCTAGGGGCGACACGCGGCCTCCGGCCAGCCCTCAGCTGGAACACGGGGCCGTATTTCCTCCTCTCGCATTTCCCAGGAATTGTCGGTGACGCTCATACGGGGGCGAATCCTTGTCCCTAGGGTGACCGTGGAGGTGCGAGTCGGGGCGTCTCTGCAACGCCGCGTTTGGAGGACCCTCCAAATGCGCCTTCTCAGACGACAAAGCAGCAGGTGACCGCGCGACGCGGAGGCGGGGTGGCGGTGGGCGGGCGGTCGGCTAGAAAGGAACCCTGGTAAAATTAGGGCGTCCGTGAGCTCAGCGGTGAAGCGCTGTCCGCGGGGGAGCCGCTGGGCTGAGAGGTCGAGACGCCGGGCTCCGGTCGGACGCCGGGCCGGGGGGTCCTGCTCTCGCCTCTCACTTGCCTGTGACGAGCAGCGCGTCACCTGCACCACGTCCTCACTCGTGAGACGGAGCTTAAAAGCGAGCCTGCCGTGCCTCGCTGTCACATGCCCCACCGCGGTCACCGGGGTGAGCACCCAACTCCGTCCCTGACACACAGGGCTTCACTGTATCCCGGATGCTCGCGGCGACCCTGCAAGCACGTGGCATCACCTCCGCCCCTCGGCGGGGCGGCTGCGGTGCACGGACCTTCGTCGGCCTCCCCGAACCCACAGGGCTCCGAAGAGGAGAGACCGGAATTAGAGCCACAGTGCGTTTGACTCCAAAGCCCGAACCAGGCTGAACAGAACCGAGGTGAAGTGCGTTTGACTCCAAAGCCCGAACCAGGCTGAACAGGACCGAGGTGAATCGGGGTCAGCGGCGGGTCAGGACCCAGGTGAAGTGGGGTCAGCGGCCAGTCAGGACCGAGGTGAATCGGGGTCAGCGACGGGTCAGGACCCAGGTGAATCGGGGTCAGCGGCCGGTAGGGCTGAGTGGTTGAGGCGATGTTTACTCACTGGCTCCCGCACGTGCCAGCATTGCCCGGTCACCGGACGCAGAGCACGTCGTTGGCTCGAGCACCCGACTCCTGGTGGACTCGACGCGTCCCGACCTGTCGTCGGCTACGTGGTGGTGTCAGGGCCGGCCGAGGCCCCGTCGTCCAGGTCCCCATCCAGGCCGTGGAGGACGGAAGGGCCGTCTCCTCAGCAGAAAGTAAAATGTGGCAAAACGGAAGGACGAGTGACAAGGGCCGAGGGTTAACCGGCCGGGCCGCCCCGCACGCCGCCCGGGGAGGCAGGGGCGAGACCCACGACCGCGTGTGGAACCCGGGCACGTGCAGAAGCGTCGCGGGGGCGCCCTCGGGCTGTGAAAGAAAAGCCGAGTGTCCCCGGAGAGCGCACTCCAGCCAGGGGACTGTCCTTTACTGTAACTTTACGACGACCGAAACGTCTTCAGGTGACGGACGTTTCGGTTCCTCCTGCAGCACCCGCCGCCCGCTCACCCCGGCCGGTCCCCGCGCTTCTGCTCAGTGCCAGACGATGCGAAGCGAAACGCAGCTTCCCCTTTTCTCGGGGAAAACAGGACGGGAGCCAGCGAGCGGCGAGGTGCCCCGCGCGGCCGCTGCGCTCTCCCGACGGGTCTGATTTTGCTTTTGGTTTCCTTCGGGTGCCGCCTCAGCGTCTTTCCTCGCTGGGAAAATGCAGAAGTCGCGTCCCTGGGCAGGAAGGGGCCGTCTCCATCGCTCCGTGGGGAGGATCGCGGCCAGAGGTCTCGCCCTCCGCACCGTGCGGCCGCGGCGCCCGAGGCGGGTCCCGGCGGCATGCGCGCCCCGAACTGCTCCGTGCACGGCGATGACGCGGTGGCGGTGGCCGTGGGCTCGCTGCTGCTGCTGGAGAGCGGGCTGGGGCTGCTGGCCAACGCCGTGGCGCTCTGGGCGCTGCTCTTCCGCCTGAAGGCGTGGAAGCCCTACGCCGTCTACCTGTTCCACCTGGCCGTGGCCGACCTGCTGCTGACCGTCTGCCTGCCCTTCCGCGCGGCCTTCTTCCTGCGCCGCAAGGCCTGGAGCCCTGGGCTCGCGCCCTGCCGCGCCCTGCTCTTCCTGTGGGGCCTCAGCCGCGGGGTGGGTGTCGCCTTCCTCACCTCGGTGGCCCTAGACCGCTACTTCCGAGTGGTCCACCCTCGGCTCAAGGTCAACCTCCTGACCCCCCGGGGGGCCCAGGTGATCTCGGGCCTCGTCTGGCTCCTGGCGGGCGCCCTCAGCCACCAAAGCTTCCTCGTCTCCGAGGCCGAGTGTCCCCGTTCCGACCCCGGGGAGGGCGTCTCCTTCAGGCTGTCCTGGCAGGAGGCACTGTCCTTCCTGCGGTTCATTCTCCCCTTCGGCCTCATCCTGTTCTGCAGCGCCAGCATCATCAGAACTCTGCGCAAGAGGCTCCGAGACCCCGACAAACAGCCCAAGCTGCAGCGGGCCCGGGCGCTGGTGGCCGCGGTGGCGGTGCTGTTCGCCCTGTGCTTCCTGCCCAATTTCCTGGCCCAAGTGTCGATGGCCGTCTTCCTGGGGACGGACAGCTGCAGGGTCCAGAGAGCACTGGCGCACGCGGCCGACGTGACCAGCAGCCTCACGGGCCTGCAGAGCGTGCTGAACCCCGTGGTCTACTGCTTCTCCAGCCCCGCGTTCCGGCACTCGTACCGAAAGGTCTTCTACACCCTCCGGGGCCGGGGGCCGGGAGCCCCGGCTCCGGCCTGTGACTCCCGGGACTCCTACTCCTGAGCACAGCCAGCCCCCCGGCCGCCGGGTGAGGCTCGGGGCCCCACGTGGGATCTGGGAACAGCGGCCGTTGCTCCGTGCTCGGGGAGAGGAGGGGCCCCGGACAGCACGGCAAAGGTCAGGCCGCAGAGCCGCGGCCAGCACGGGGTTTACCGGGCTCACCGGGACTGTCTTCTGCTGTTTTCCACGACCGAGCAGCAAAGCGCAGCTAGGAGGCTTCGCACACACCGCTGCGGGCTCGGTGTGTCGCCCACGCGGACGCTGGGGCAGCCGCCGCCAGCCCCGCCTGTAGGCACTTGCTCCGGCGGCTCAGCGGTGGGAGCCGCTGTCGTCCCAGCTGGTGCCCCAAGGGGCCTCGGGGTCGCGCGGAGGGTCCGCTGTGCGTGCGCTGTCTCCGCCTCGGCTCCGTTCCGCGTTTTACAAACGTTCGCTTCATTCGTGCGGGTCACTCGGCAGGTAGAGGACAGGGCGGCTATTTCCCTCGTTATTATAAGAAATCGTTTCCTACTAAATTTCTCAAAATGGCCTCTGGGACGTTTTTCTAAATTTGAATGTCCAAATGCTTTTAAAACTTACTTTGCTTCCCCTGAGATAAAAAGCCACAGTGCTTTGTGCCTCCTGGGAGAGACACACAGTGCGAGACACCACACTGCCTGTGAGATGGTGCCGCCCACCCAGGTGTGACCCGTGCAGAGGCCCTGGGGCTGGGAGGCCACGGCAGAGGGGGAGATGCGCCCACCCCCACCCCTGCC